TTAGGAACAGTTACCTAGAAGAAATGGTGAATTGGGGTTGTACCTTACATTTGGTTATGACAGAATTTCCATTTTTTAATAGTAATTTTCATCTTTTAAAAGACGCCTCTGGCTTTGATATACTGGATAAACTGGGGAGCAAACGTGTAGCTTAAAGGAGACCAGTGACATTCTTTTTTGTGTGGGACTGAAGCTTTGTAAACAAAAGGAAGACTGTGTTGTGCTTGTGTAGTCTTCCACGACAGAGAGAGCTAGACTTGGGAACCAACCGTTAAACCACCAATACCTTGGCTGTTTAGCAAATATTTAGTGTGTGTGTGTGTGTGTGTGTGTGTGTGTGTGTGTGTGCGATGTGCCTGCTCATGCGCACAGGTACACATGGAGGCCAGCGGTTGATACTGGGTGTCTTCTATGTTCTCCAGCGTATGTTCTCCAGCATGTGGCATGTACTTGTGTGTGCACATGTGTGGAGGAGGAGTACACTCAAGTGAATGAGTATGGAAGCTAACGCTGAGCTGTCCTCCCTTGTGACTCTCCACATTTATTTGTTTGTTTTGAGACAGGGTCTCCTCATGGACTCTGAAGTTCATGGTTTTTTCACTAAATCGGATGGCAAGGCCCTGTCTCCTCTCCCTAGCGCTGAGGTTACAGATGCCCACATCATCACCCACAACAATACTAGCTTTGATGTGACTGCTGAGCATCCAAGTTCAGGTTCATGGCTTGTGTCCCCTGGGCCTTCTCTCCAACCCTTGCTCTTTATTGTTTTGAAACAGAGTCTGTCACTGAATCTGGACTCATCAATTGAGCTCTTGACTAGGTGACTGGCGTGCTCCAGGGATCTGCCCCTCTCTACCTCCCTAGTGCTGAGATGACAGAGGTGGTGCTGACTCTGACTGTTTTTTTCTGTGGGAGCTGTGGAACTGATCACAGGTCCTCAGACTTTTTTTTGTGGCCAGGAATGTTAGCAGTGAGCCACCTCCCCAGCCCACATATGCACACACACACACACACACACACACACACACACACACACACACACACACACGAGTCTTAATAACTCAGTGTCTGCTGTAATGAGGCATTCTCCTAGCCTGATGCTGCATCCAGGCCTCAGCTGTGTTGTGTTTCCAATACCTCAAATACCCTGGCTTCACACTCCTCACAGAAAATGAAGAAAGAAACTCAGTAATTATACAGAGGTTCTCCTGTATGAATCTGAAAAGGACACAGGTCTCTCCTGTCCGTTTGTGGGACAGAACCTGCCACACTGTCCTTCTCAACTGCCTGGTGGTAGGGAACTGTATTCTCCTATGCACAAATGAGGACAAAAACTTACATATGTGATGAGCCCTAATGACATTTGCTAGTCACTGAGGTCATTCTAGTATGTGTCAAATATAGAAACTCTGCTTGTTAACTGGCGTACTTACTATCGGAGGCACAGCTGCCCTGTGTAGTGATCTGATGATGATATCATGATGTCATTTGATGCCTCATGGACTTGTTCCTGACCCAAGTTTCTCATGAACCATCCAGAGAGACATAAGGTATATTGAGCCTGTAGCATTTCATGCTTGGTGGTGGTGCAAACCAGCTACATTAGAGATTCTGGCCCCCATTTCTCCTGTATGTTTCCCAGCCCTTATTTTTAGTCTTCCTAGACATTCAGTAGCTAGCTAATATCCTTCTCAAGGTATAAATCACAATTTAGTCTGCAAACTGGCCCAGTCAGCCTGTAACACGAATGGAGACAGGAGCTGTCCAGTCAGAAGGAAGCATCCTTGCCTCACATCCCCAGAGAATTTCCTTTCTCTCACTGCTTTTCAGTGTTTGTTTATCTCACAATGCTTGTCTCTGAAGACTTCCTATCTCCTTGCTTTGAAAAGTAAATATATGATTATACCATGGCATCAATAACAAATGAAAGACCTAATGAATAGGTTATTTTTAGTGAAGCCAGGTATCCCACTGTGCTCTAGAATACGTTGAAATACTTCATTCTTTTATTTGGGGGTAGTTTGTGAGCATAGTGCATTTGCTTAGGGCCATTCTAGAGTCTCCTTTTATTTTACCTTTTATCTCTTTCTTATTTTCTGAAAGGTATTCCTTGGTGTTTGTTGAGTTAGTCCTTGGAAAGACACACTGTTGGATTACCTTTCCTAACCCAAATTCAGCAGTTAGACTTTCTTGGGTGTTTTAAATTATGCTTTCACAAATTAAATAAAAAATATTTATTCCTGCTTTTCAGAGGACAAAATCTAAATGACTCTGTGTGTGAGTGTGTGTATGGACACATCTGTGCAAGACACACATGCTCACACACTCACACACACATACACTTACTCTCTATTTCTCTCTCTCTCTCTCTTTCTCTCTCTCTCTCTCTCTCTCTCTCTCTCTCTCGCGCGCGCACACACACACACACACACACACGCATGCACACACACACATACACACGCATGGTTTGATGGTAAGTCAGGGACCCAGATGGAATTGATGGAATTGATTTGTAAATAGGTTTGACTGTTCTTTCCACTATCCATCTTACAGTGGAAAACAAATAAACAAACAAACAAAAACTCCCATAGGTTAGATGGTTTTCTCGGTAGGAAATTAAGTTAGGGGTTATTCTGAGGGGAAAATTATGAGGACAACTAAAAGGTAAGCCTGGAGTGCCAGAGATTAACAGATGCATTTAGATGGAAACTGACATCTTAATGACTTTGATGTGCTTTGAATAGGAAATGTTCACCGAGGCTTGGTGTTTGTATCGTTGGTCCCCACCTAGTGGCTCTTTTGGGGAAGGCTATGGAACCTTCAGGGGGTGCAGACTGGCTGGAGGAAGTGCATCACTGGAAGCAGGCTTTGGGGTTTCATAGCCTGGCCCCGCTTCCTGTTCTTCCTGTTTCCTGTGTGTGGATGAATCCACCGGATTACCAGGCCAGCCCCGCCCTCCTGCTGCTGTCCCTTCACTGTCGTGACAGACTGGATATCCTCCGGAACTTTAAACCCAGAGACACCCGTTCTCCCTTCGTGTTTCCATGACCAAAAGCGTGGGAAGAAAGTGTTTATTTTAGCTTACAACTCTCAGCTCACAGTCACTCACCAAGAGAAGTCGGGTCAAGAACGGGAACCTGGAGGAGAAACTGGAGGGCAGGCCATGGAGGAAGGTACTGCTTGCTCCTTATGGCTTTCTTAGCCCGTGTTCTTACAGATCAGGACCATCTGCCCAGTGGTGGACCCTCCCACATCATCATTAAAATGCTCTAGAGACTTGCCCACCTTCCTCTTCCCAGATAACTCTAGCTGGCATGGTTGCCAGAAAGGTAACCAGCACATTTCCCTAACTTTTCTTTTGTCAGGGTCTTATATCACAGCAGCAGGTAAGTAACTAATACAAGACTATACCCAAATGTCTCCATCATTGAAATCAATGTGAATTCAGTAGGAGATGGAATGGGCTTCCGAGCTGGGCTTGCTTATTTCACTTCACCCTTCAACTTTTCCTTTCTCTATTTTGTTATTCTACATATGCCATGACTGTCCTCTGCCACACTGTGACTTGAGTTCCATGAGATTAGAAGTCCCTCTAAATTTCTTCATTTCTGCAAATCCAGTTCAACCAAAATGCTCTGAATGAGCTTGACTATGGCAGGGGTAACGATATTGCTACTTAGTAAATATGTACTGGTTGCTTCCGTAAATAAAACATAGTCCTTGACTTCAACCAGTTGTTTTAACTTGTGAGGGAAGCTGGCAATGGATATTTCAGAACTAAATGAATGTGCCTGTATTGCAGGAGTGTGAAGATGGGACAGCTCTGATCAGGAAAGAAAATTTAGGGTGGGAAAATTTCTGTGCACCATAGCTGAGTCAGGTACCATTTCTTAATAAGTGGAAGAAAGGAAGGACTTGGTTTTGAAAGTGAGACGTGGAACTTAGAACACACCTGGTCAGTACACTGCTTTATTGAAAGCAGCATTCCTTCAGGTAAATTCCTCGTTGTGTAACTTAATATGCCCTATGCAAGTTCCTTAGCAAATCTGTTATAGCATCAAATTATTACTTCAAGTTTCTCCTGCATCAGTATTGCATTTTATGTCAGCATTGGTGATTGTAGGACCAAAATATCAGGGCTGGGGAGCTGTTTCAATAGTGAAGAGGGCTTGTTGCTTTTTCAGAAGGCACGAGTTTAATCCCTGGCACACAGCTGTCTGCAGTTTCAGCTCAGGCATTTCCCATGACAGTCATTCAGAGACACATGCACACTCATATATATAAAAACTTAAAAGTATTAACCAAAGCGAAACTATCTATTGATTAGAAAGGGGCTGAAGATGTGAAATATCCTGCAGCATCAAATATTCAGTCCAGAGTTAATTCTCTACATAAAAACAAATAAATATATCTATCCCTTTCATGTATAACCTTGTCTTTATCTTCAACGAGTAGGAAAACTTTATGCATTCCAAAGAATTGTTTCCAGATAAATTTCTGTATGATTTATTATCAGTAAACATTTAGTTTGTATACCTAGTTCCTGTTCCTCTGACCCGGGGCCATGACTCCTTGTTTGTGACAAGGAGTCATGGGTAGTAAAACTTTTAAAGTTTGTATCTGCAGCACCTGTGATGAGTTAAAGAGGGAAATACAGAAGATAAAATCCTAGAAGCAGAGAGGTGGCACATTACATATACATCTCTTAGGAACTAGAAGCTGTAGCCAGGCCATGGTCACATCATCAACTCAACTTGCATTATTTTTTTAAGCACATTAGCTCAAAGCCTTGAACCTTGAAGCAGGCAGTCAGAGGTGGAGTCCTAGCCCAAGCTGTCTGGATCTCAGGGTTGGGCCTTTTGTCTTTCTGTTTCTCTCTAGATAGCATGCAGGCTTTGTCCTAGTCCTGATCAAGGCCCCACGTCCAGGCCTTGCATTCCAGTTCGAAGCCGGAAGAAGAGAGGTGAAGGGTGGAGCTCACCAAGGCAGCAATTGCCAGGGATTCCCAACAGTATCTTTCGCTTTAGCTAGAAACGAGTCCCCTGTTGCTTCTGATAACTCCAAAAGAGTCTGGAAGGCTGAGAGTTCCTAACTGAGCTCGTGCTGTTACGTATAATGGAGTTCTTTTCATAAGGTAAAAGGGGTGCCCGCTGGGAGGAGGGGATTGTCACAGTATTATCCAGCCAGCGGTGGCGGTAGGCAGGCTGAGGCCCTTTCAGCAGGCCTGGTGACTCACAGAATGGGCTGTGGATTTTACTCTATGTGCAGAAAGCAGCTGTTGGGGAGACTTAAGGAGAAGAGGGGAGGATTTGCTTATTCTGGCAGTTGAGTGCAGTGCGTTTTGGGATAGAGGAGCAGGCGGGGAGGCAGCTAGGACACCCTTGTAGGAAAAGTGTAAAGATGGGTGTGGTGGAGGCGGGGTACACGGCTGGGTTTACGGGTCTCTGGTCTCTTTCACTCTGAGACGCACCCGCCCGTGAACACCAGAGGACAGGGACATCTAAATCCGCTATCACTTGGCTGGGTCCTTTCACAGCCTGTGGCTGTGGAGTAGAAAGCTGTCCTAAGCATCGCGGTACGTAGGGATAGACCATGTCTGTTTTATACGTGAAAGCGCCGAAGACGCAAACAATTAAGCTTTCTCTTGAGTGGGCAGTAAAAGACAGCTGGTCACACCCAGCCACCCAAATCTCCTTAGTTTCCTTCTGTTTTCTCTCTCCAGTTCACAGCGCTCCAAGATTTCTGGACCTCCTTTCCCAACAATGTTTCATGAGTTAAACTCAGTATGGAAATATTTATTGGCGGAGGGGGCGAAAGTAAAGGATTTCTTGACTACTTGGTGTAGAGACATACTCTGTTCTGTTTTTTTGTTTTTTCCCCTATCTTGTATGTAAACAAAAGTAGGCTTTGCCGTCTGGCGCCACCTCGTGGCTACTCCAGAAATTGCATAGGATTGAGTCTGCCTTCAGTGTGGCTTCCTAGCCTGGAGACTTGCTGTCATCTTGAAGTCAAGCTGTTCACCAGATGCTACAAACTCCAGAACCCTTCAGTAGACCTAGGGACAGCAAGTACAGGAACTGATTGTCCCTCTGTCCTTTCAGTCCTTTATCACTAGCTGGGGACACTAGTTTCCATGACTTACTTAAGCTCCCACAGCTGCGAACAGGGGACCTGGGTCTGAATCACTGCCTTCCTCAATGCCAGTCATTAAGGGGGAGATGGACAATGTCTAGGTTATGATTGGAGGCATCTCTAACATTGATCATAATCCTCAGTAACTTTTGCATAATCGCCACATTCAAATGAGTTTTGTTTCAATATTAGTGTCCCGTCTTTTAGGCTCAATGGTTGTAAAAATGTAGGGATACATAGCTAGTAAACCAATCATGCCCACGGCCTCCCTAGTTCACATACGGCATGTCCCCACGCTCCTTTCTCTCTGTTCTTGTTTAGAGGTATTTCTTTACTACAGGTGGCAGCTATTGAGCCGAAGCAGCTGGGTGACTCAAGCTGTCGTTCTTAGGCGTTCTGAATCCACTTCGTCAAGTTATTTGTAGGTAGAGAATGTTCCAGCTACTGGCAGAAGATACAGAGATGAGATATCTTCACAATCCTAATTCAAATAGTGACAAACTCTTTTTTTAATTTATTATTATTTTATATGCATTGGTACTTTGCCATGGGTGTCGGGTCCCCTGGAACTGGAATTACAGACAGTTCTGAGCTGCCATGTGGGTGCTAGGAATTGAACCCAGGTCCTCTGAAAGAGCAGTCAGTGCTCTTAACCACTGAGCCTTCTCTCCAGCCCCGTGACAGACTCTTATTGCATCATCATTTATCTTTGCCTGGGGCCTTTATCTGTAGTAAGTGGAACTCAGTGTACCTTTATTTACAAATTCTCTCATGCCCTTTTCTCTTTAGGCTCCTCTAAACATTAGTAGAAACAGGTGGCAGTTTAAAACCAAAAATGTTTGACGAAGAATCCTGACATTACGAATTTGTATCTACGAGGTCAAGTTACTACGGCTTAGTTTTCAGTGACATTGAAAGACTAGAGTTGTGTGAAGTATCGAAACCAGGTTGTGGTTCGTGCACACAGCTTACGTGTTGAGTGAACAAAGTTATCACTGTTGTTGCCACAAAGGCAGTTTTCATCAAAAACAGATGTTCACCCATCTTTTTTTTTCTGGGGAATGTAGCTCAGACCTTGAGGATGCCAGTCAAGTGGTCTTCCCTAACCATATCCTTAGCCCATACAAATATGCTTTTAAACAAAGCAGCTGTGCACGTGAGGCTATTAGAAAGAGAGTGTTATGCAGCAGGGGAACTAATTAGCTTCTACTCATGATCCTGATGGTAGCTTCCTGGGATATGTACAGGTGAAGTTCCTCAAGAAGGTAGAAATCTAACGTGTGCCAATAGGAAACGTCTGCACAGATGTGCATAGAATGTCAGTATTAAAAATGCTAACTGTGAACTATCACTGTCTGGGGCCAGACTTTTCTGTCTGAGGGGAAAGTAAGTATTCACACACTCTCCTGATGGATTCCTTTTTATTTCTGTTACCTGTGGGAACACCAGACCTTGAGCAGAGACCCACTTCCCCTTCTGCCTGGGAGTAGGCAGCTGTAAGACAATGTTTACTAAAAACATGTTTACTAAAAACAATACAATGCCTGGGGGCATTAAGTTCCTGGAAAAGGCCTGCCCTCAGAAACCACCCTGAGCTCGACCTTGTCCAAAGACTAACCGCCTCTTCTGCCACGCCCAGATCAGTTTCTGGGGTCAGAGCAGAACCAGCCAGGGGTAGAGGAGAGAGCAGAAGCTTCTCTGGTGGGAGCCTTTCTTAGGAAGTTTTCTTGAACCTTTTTGGGGCCTGCTTAAAGTTTTCTTTACATCGTTGGTTCCTCCAATTGTCGCGTCTGCTGCGCGGCCTGTGTCCGAGGGTGTCGGGGATTGACAACACAGAGACTTGTTCAACGGTGTAAAGAAAACTTTAAGCAGGGCCCAAAAAGGTTCAAGAAAACTTCCCAAGAAAGGCCCCACCAGAGAAGCTTCTGCTCTCTCTTCTCCCCTGGCTGGTTCTGCTCTGACCCCAGAAACTGATCTGGGCGTGGCAGAAGAGGCGGTTAGTCTTTGGACAAGGTCGAGCTCAGGGTGGTTTCTGAGGGCAGGCCTTTTCCAGGAACTTAATGCCCCCAGGCATTGTATTGTTTTTAGTAAACATGTTTTTAGTAAACATTGTCTTACAGCTGCCTACTCCCAGGCAGAAGGGGAAGTGGGTCTCTGCTCAAGGTCTGGTGTTCCCACAGTTACCTCTTGTTCTTTTTCTGTTCTTTCTACTGTACACTTTTTTACTACAGCTTATATACTCCAACAAAGCTTTTCAGGTAATATAGTATTACAATGTGCTTACATTTTGTTTTTCAAGTAAATGATTACAATGAATACAAAACAAACAGTTAAAAAACAGGATGCTTTCCATATCCCTTACATGATTAAACATTTTACATACTACAGGTAAAAATATTATTCCAATATCCCATATGCATTCATACCCAAGAAACTTTTTATAGATTGTGTGGTCAAGCAAGACATTCTTGTCAGGTCTTTTATTGGCAGGCTGCATTTTGCACTTACAAAGAAAGGGTCAATGACATTATTATTTATTTTGACAGGTAATCTTATAAGTCAAAAAGCTAGCCCATTTCTGAACAAGGAAATCATACTGCAGAACCTGGCCCCTCTGTCATCAGCTGGTTCCTCTGTTTGACAGAATCAGTGTGTGAGACATACATACGAATCCCAACTCTAAGGATTCTCACATGTCGTCAATGCTTTTCCATCCTTCAATTATAATATTTTTCACTCATAGCTACTGTTTAGATCAGATTTATTCTTTCAACAGATTTATTCTTGCTCTTAGAAACACCACCAAAAATTGCTAATTTTACACACTTGTTTTTTCCCTTTATTGTTGATGAGACTAATGTTCAACTACCAAAAAAAATCACTTATAGGAATGTATTCACTGAACCCTTCCTCCCTCCCTTCTTCCCTCTCTCTCTCTCTCTCTCTCTCTCTCTTTCTCTCTCTCTCTCCTCTCTCCACACTGTCCAGCTGTGGGTCTTTGTATTTGTTCTCATCTACTGCAGGAAGAAACTTGTCTGATGATGGCTGAGGAAAAACTGCTCTGTGAGTATGGCAGAATTCCATTAGGAGTCATTTTATGGTTATTTTCCCTTAACCGAACAGTAGTATTTGGTTTTCTTCTAGCTCTGTGGCCTATCAGGTCTCTGGTTCTTAACCACTTGAGCAGTGTCAGGGATAAGTTCCTCCTCATGGGGTGGGCCCTAAATCTAAACAGATATTTATAGGGAGAGGCCTACGTACCAGTAAACACACCCAAGTGGGCGTGGTCAGTGCTACAGGTATGTAGACCTCTCTCTACAGATATTGGTTGGTAACTCGCATAAATTTTGTGCATATGTATATACTATGGCTTCTGGTTTTGTGTTTTTAGGGAATGCCCATGTGTACAAACATGTGTGTCTCTGTGTCTGCATGTATATTCTGTGCTTTTTCTTTGGGTATTTTTCTCTGTTTGTTTTGTCCTGTTTCAGTTTGTTCTATCTTACTGTTTTTCTTTAGATGTCTATTTGTTTTATAAGGAGAGACAGAAATGCTGTGCATTCCAATCAGAGGGAAGAGGGGGGAAGAATATATTTTATGAAAAACATCTATTTTCAGTAAAAGAAAGAAAAATGAAAAGAATGTATTCACATATCATACAGAAGCATCTCAGGTACTACTACTGGTAACCATGTACAACCCAGCCCTCAACCTGGCTTTCTCTCTAGGGTAGGAATGTCAGTCTTCTCTCTTTCTATCACCTTCACTCCCCCTTTATGTTTTCAGTTATGTTCAGGACGATCTTGTAAGGAAGGAATTTTAAACCATTGGGAAGTAAGGTAGATAGACTTTGATTCGCTGTAGTAAAGATAGCATGGAAGTTTGATGCAGTTTGACACTTACCACCTCCGTTAGCCCTCCCTCAGTTTGTAGAATCTCTGTAGCTAAGATGTGGCCATCATCAGCCCCATCCCCTTCTCCTAGAGCACTAGAACATTAAAA